CTCCAGGGGCAGTGTCTGTCTGTGGGCAGGGGGATGGGGGGTCCTGGCCAGACACAGGGATCGGCTCCGGAGCGACTCGGGCCAGACCTCCATTCCCTGGGAGATGCCTCCCCACCCTGGGATGGAACTGGGCTGCAGCTCACGCACGGAGCCCCCCGAGGAAGCCGTGGGCTCTCCCTCCCTTTGCTTTGCACTATATTCACTTTTTTTTGGGTACAGACTGAAGCCCGGCTGTTGGGACTCTGGCTGCCGGGGAGCGGGGCCGGGGGCTCCTGCGGTTCTGCCAGCCGTGATGCCGGTGATCCACCACGTGCTGGAGCTCGGATGCCTTTGCTGGGGTGCGGGCAGTGCCGTGCAGGCAGAGCCAAGCCCTTTGCCGCCCCGGCCCACCCAAACCCCCGCTTTGCTGGTGGCCTCCGGAAAAATGCCTTTTTTTTTGTTGTTGAAACACAAAGACAGCAAGGATTGCTCAGCGGGGCTGTCGGGGCGCGGGACTTGGGGCTCCCCCAGGCGCGCCGCACTCCCACCCCACGAATGTCTGTGGTTTCTTCGTGACTTGAACTAACAGTGTTTCCCCCCAACCCCAACCCAAGCCCGCTCCCCCAGCCATGGGTGCCACCGGCCAGGTGCCCTGGCAGCCGGTGATGCTCCACACGCCGGTGTCCAGTGCTCCCCAGAGGGGCACCTGCCACATCCTGTGTGCCCCACACTTCCCTCCATCCCCCTTCCGCCGGCTCTGCCCGTGCTGGGGGGCAGTGGGGACAGCAGCTCTGCCACCAGCACAACACCAGGTGCCAGGGGAAAGATTTGGGGAGCAGCAGTGTCCAGGCAGCCGGGGCTGATGTAAGTGGAGCTGGGATATTCGCCTCTCATGCAATGTATTTGTGGATCTGTGTACACGTCTGTTAGACTATCCAAAGCTTTGCCAAGAAATAAATGTAACGACTATATTTGAAAGACAAATCTATATAATATATTTTTTAAATACAGAACTGAAAAAGCTGTAACCCCCCTCTTCTTGTTTCCCCTGTCCTGTACTTGCTGTCTGTGGTGGATGTAATAAATGTCGCTGGGTCTGTGTCTGCTTTGGCTGGAGCCAGCCCTTGGCATCCACCCTGGGGAGGGGTGGTCCAAGCAGGGACACGGGGACAATGGGACCCTGTACAGGACATCTGCCCCATCCCTGCTGAGGAGAGGAAGGACCACCCAGCAGCCACCCAGACTCTGAAGGGATAAGGAGTTTTGTGCTAAAATAGCTCCTTTGGAGGTGCTGTGGGTTCCCCATAGCAGGTCCTCTGGGCTTCCAGCATCAGCTGCCAGAACAATAGTGATGGTGTCACAGGTCAGGGATGGAGTGGTCCATGGACGATTTCACCAGCCCTGATGAGAGCCTGAGCAGAGGGAAGGGAGGTCAGTGGGGGGAACCTGGGGGTCCCTGTGGGGTGTGGGGGGGTCCTTGCAGCCCCACGTTCTCACCGTTTGACCATGTGCTCGTAGATCACGGTGGGGATGATGGTCAGTGTCACCACGTTCCCAGCCCCTGCCAGCACCTCCATGAGCTGCTTATCCTGTGGGAAAGAACAAGGGGGTCCATAGGGTGCCCAGCTTAGTTCAGTATCCCTCTCCCTCCTGGATTCTCTGGGCACATGCTGGACTCCCCAGGCGTGTCCTGCAGCACCAGGGCACAGCCCTACCTTCATGCCGATGACGTTCTGGCCGTTCACCTCGCAGATGCAGTGGTGGGTGAGGAGCCCGTTGCGGGCGGCCGAGCTGTCCTTGGCCAGTGACACAATCTTCCCCTTCTTCACCACAATGCCGACGTGGCCAGTGCTGTCCTTGTGCACGGTCACGGTGCGCTGGAAAGGCCTGTGGGGAGAGCACCCTCAGTGCTGCCACTGGCACTGCCACCAGCACCGCTGCCACCAGCCACTCACCTGTCCCGCACCACCATGACGATTTTTTCAGGGTTGGCCTTTTTCAGTGCACGCTGTGCCTTGTCACTGCTCCAGCCTGCGCAGTTCTTGCCGTCGATCTGCAGCACCTGGTCCCCGAAGCGCAGCCCCACCAGCGCTGCTGGCGAGTTGGCCTTCACCAGCTGCACAAAGATGCCCTGGGGACACAACGGAGTGGTGGCACTCCAATGGCCATGCCATGCACCATGGTATGCCATGCCGTGCCATCTGCACCCTGCTGTGCTGTGGCACGCTGTGACATTTAATGCCACACATTGCCGTGCCATGATACACTGCCATGTCACGCTGTGCCTACTGTCATGCTCACGCCGTGTCACATCGCGCCATGACACACTGTCCTGTGCCAGCCCAGCCCCGTGCCAGCCCAGCCCCTCACCTGGTCAACGTTCTTCAGATGCAGCCCTGTCTTGCCCCGCTCGTCCTTGCACAGGTGGATCTCCCGCACACCCGGCTTGATCTCTGCCCGCCGCAGCCCCGCGCTGTTCCCGCTCAGGGGGGCGACCAGCTGGCCTGGGGAGGGCCCAGCGGGGGTCAGTGCCTGTGGGGGAGCTGGGGGTCAGTGGGGACAGGGGGGACACACAGCCCTGTGCACCTCAGCCTTTGGAAGTGCTGCATCCCTTTCCCAGGCAGGATGAGGAGCCAGAGGGACCCCCGTTATGGCATGGGGAGCCAGGTGGGGCAGGGAGCTGCCAGCCCAGACACCTACGGTGCTGTCCTCGGTGCGCAGGTTCTTCTGGATCTCCTCGCTGGAGAGCGCCAGCCCCATGTAATTCTCCAGCTCAGCTAGGTTGGGGTACAGCACAGGTGGCTCTGAGGAACATACCAAGTGTGGTCTCAGCTCCTGGGGCCCCCAACCCACAGCCATTGCCCCCTCTATCCCAGGAGTCCCTGGGACCATGGGCCAACAAAAAGAGACCCCAAAATCCCATCCCCAACCCGTGCACTGAGTTGTGAGGGGGTCTCAGCTAAGCCCCCCCACACACACTGAGTATCATTACCCACCCAGACAGCCCCAGCACAGGGTGAGCTGATCATGCCCCACCTTACCAGCACCCGAGGTGAGTTTTGGCTTCTCTGTGACCACTGTGGTGGCGGGGGTCCTCACCCCAGCTGCTGCCTGTGCCTGCCAAGAGACAGGATGCTCGATGCTGTGCCCCCCACCCCAGGGACCCTCTGAGGTGAGGCCCCACAGGGACCCATTGGGGTCTGCTCAGCTCCTGTAACACTGCTGAGCAGGCACTGACCTGCAGGACCTGGTGGCCCTTCATGTCCTCCAGGGAGGGGTAGAGTGTTGCCATCGCTGCTGCTGTCTGGGGACAGGGATGGGGCGGTTCAGGGACTGGGTGGCCTCTCTCTGAGCATCCCTCCCAGCCCGTGTACCGGAGATGGGCTGTCACCTGAGCCTCCAGTGTGACTCAAGGCCATGTCACCATCACCACCACTTCCTGGTGGCTGGGACATGGATTTCTGTGTGCCAAGCAGGTCCTGGTCCCCATGTTCACCTGCCCCACAAAGCCATCCCAACACCACCCTGATAGGGGAGTGGGATATCCCATGGGAATGGCCCCTTTGCCCTTCATCACACCCCTCTGCTCCCCATGTCCAGCTGCTGCCAGTGGGGCCATTCCAACATTACCCAGACACAGCAGTGAGATGTCCCATGGGAACAGCCCTCATACACACCATCAGCCCCCTCTTCACCTCAAGTGCCCAAGACTGTGCCCCCCCAAACCTATTCTATAGCATCTTGTGCCCTAAAAAGCAACATCCAAAACTCATGGTGTAGGGGCCAAATCCAGACCCAGCTCTGAGCCCTGTGAGAACCAGGCAGGATCCCACCTGCAGCCCAGGGACAGCAGCAGCATCCAACAAACAAAATCCCCCAAGTCCACCCCTGGCACCCCTGGACTCACCTGCCAACAGCTCCCAAAGCCTTGTGACACCCTCTGCCTGGCCCCTGGATTTTATAGCCAGGCCCAGCCCAGGGAGGGGCCAGACAGCCTCAGCTGATTGCATCTGTAGGTGCAGAGTAGGACAGAGGTGAGGAAGAGGAAGAGGAAGGTGAAGGCAACAATGCACGGAGCCCTGGCACTGCAGGGATGGGACAGGGATTGGGATGGGGACAGGGATGGCTTTCTGTAGGTTCGGGCATCCTGGGGAAGCAGGGGTGGGGCTGTACCCCCCTCATGGTGCCCTCCCCCCCCAAATGCATCACTTCTCCTGCCACCCTCAGCACGTGGCTTGGCCCCTCCCGGGCTCCACAGGCCCTGCTGGGGGGTGAAGGGGGTTCCCCACCGTGATTCCCTGCGTGGGTGGTGGCTCCTGCTGACACCTCGCTGCCCTGGCGTGTGCGGCTGACGCGGCCCTGACTGGAATCCCATATCCCACACCCTTCCAGCCGTCACCTGGAACACGTGCCAGGTGTAGGAGTCCCATGCTGCAGGTGGAGAAACTGAGCCAGCACAGAGCTCAGAATGGGGTGGCTGTGGCATCCTGCTGCCATGGGCCACCACCATGTCACCTGTGGATCCAGCCCTCCAGCAGCCAGCAGTGACATTCTGCTGCTGGCATTGAGGATGTCATGGGCCACCGTGTCCCCAGGGGCTGGGCAGGGGGGTGCTGAGAGCACTTAGGCAGGCCTGGACCTGGTGGCACCAGCCCAGAACTCCCTGGCACGGGGCCAGTCCCACTGTGGAGCCGCAGCCAGGCACATCCCAGCTCCCCGTGCCTCTGCTCCACCGTGCCAGGCCAGGAGGAAGTGTTTTATTTACCGGTGTTATTTTTAGCTGGATGGTGCTCAGCTGCCTTGACCAGCCCAGGACAAGAACAGCTTGAGCACCAGGAGCAGAGTCCTGCATAGACACAGAGGTTTGTTCCCTGGAGTCTGTTCATTCCCTGAAACCCTCATCCCCACAAAGGCACAGCTGGAAGGACTCACACCCCACCTGCACTCATGGCTGCTGCAGGAGTTGTGCAGGGGCTGAGGGCCCAAGGGCAGGGGGCTTCCCTCAGCCTCCCCCTGCCCTGGCTTAGCCCCAGCCAGAAGCCATGGCAGTGCCTGGCACCAGTTAATAATTAAAGCAAAAAGCTTTGCAGAATTGAAACCCAAACTGGCCTCAAGCTTCCACCCAGAAACAGCCACAGCAAAGGACAAAGCAGGGTGCTAGTGCCCCACAAGCTCCTGTTCTGCTTAACTGAGCAGCAATTAAGGGCAGTGCTAATTTGGGCACAGCCCTGTGCCAGCACCAGTGTTCCTGGGTGCATCCCAGTGGCCGAGCTGCACCTGCCCCAGGGCCACTGCTCCCTCCAGGACCCATTACACACAAACTTTGCATGGCAGCTGGGACAAGCTGTGTTATTGATCGTGGCTGTGTTATCACTTGTGGCACACTGATCAAAGGTTGTCAGCAGAGGAGCCAGGCACTGGCTCACAGTGGTGCCTGAGCAGGTCCTACACACACAACACCCACAGCTGCAGCAGCAAAGGCCAAAGCAGGTGATGTGCTGTGCCCTGTATGCCATGTTCAGCTTTCAAAAAGGACTGAAATAAATTCAGAAAGATGCAAGGAAAGGCAAGGACCATGGGAACATGCATCCATCTATCCCTCATGCTTCCAGTCTGGGCTGAGTCACAGCCACAAGGGCATGAGGCTGTGAGGGCAATGCTTAATAGGTTATGGTGAGGCAATTAATTATGCAAATTCCAGCAGGCCGCCATCACCTCCCAACAGAGCACAGGAGCGAGAGCCCCAGGCATCTTACTGTGCTCCCAGGGCTGAGCACCTGAGCCTCACACTAAGGCACAGCACCCCATGAGCCTGGCACTGCACCCTGTGAGCCTGGCACAGCAACCACAGCACTCCGTGAGCCTGGCACAGCACACAAAGCACCCCGGAGCCTGGCACAGCACCCTACAAGCCCAGAGCAGCACCCACAGCACCCCACACAGCACCCCCTGAGCCCAGCCCAGCCCCTGCTGAGCGACAGATGGGCGAGGAAAAACCTCCAGGACACAGGGCTGAGAAAAGCCAGCATAAAGCGTTTTTATTGCGATAATAAACTGGATACCTTTGTGCGGCGGAGAAGGAAGTGACCGGTGGGAATTTCTGTTACCAACGGACTGGGCAGGGCAGAGGGGGGCACAGGGGACAGCTATGCATCCTGTGACACCAGGCAAGCAGCGATGACCAGCATCAGGTGGCAGGAGAGAATGGGCAGGTGTGCTCAGAGTGGGGACAATGTGGGGGCTGATGGTTCCTTTCCATGGGGAAGGAGGACAGAGGCATTTTTGTTGAGTTGAGCCCCCACCACCTCCCCTGCAGACAGAACCTTCCCCTTGTCCAGTTTTCCTTTTTTCTTTAAAGAAAGCTCCATGCTACGGGATTTTCAAGGTGTGGTGGAGCTCTGGTGGAAACCCAACTCCCTAAATCCAGAAGTGGTCTGGAGGGGAAGGCAGGCCCACCGTGAGATGGCAGGGTGAAGCAGGGGCAGAGCAGCCCTCCTTTCCCACAGCAAACCCACAATGCCTGCAGTGATGCTCCCCAGGGAGCAGGGAAAGGCCAGGCTCCCTCGCTGTCCCATTCCAGGCAGAATTCCTATGAACAATCCTAGTGCTACCTTGCTCTCTGCATCCCTTCAGCCTCAACAACCTCACTCTGCTATGGCTTTTGCAGCAGCAGCAATTTCTGGTTTGAAAACACCATAAATCTGCATGAAAACGAGTAACTAACAGGATTCCTTTTGTTCAAATGACTCCTATCTAAGGTCAGCCCATCTGCGTGCTACTGGGAAAACGTAGTCTACACCTGGAACAAAAATAAGATTAAGAACTTGACCCAAAAAGAGTTGAGGTTTACGGCGTATAGTTTAAAAAGACATAAAAACACAATACAAGGAGGAAGAGTCAGACGCAAAGCTTAGTGACCAAAGGCATTCAATCAAGGTGTAAGGTTATACAATGAGTGTAGTGGGCTATCAGGAAAAGCTCCGTATAAAGTCATGTGCACTCTTCTTGAAGCTGAGATTCTGGATTCCTCCATGTGCCAAACCTGGGGAGAGAGGAGAAGCAGTGTGACAGAGCTGCCTGCCCACCTGACGAGGAGGGGATGTGCCCAGGGCACAGCAGCCTCCACACAAATCACACCAGGCACTCAGAGCAGCAGTCAAGCCTCAACCACAGCGGGGAGCACAGCCCCACCCTGCCCACACCATGGGGACCCCACACCCCAGAGCAGAGCCCCAGAGAATCACAGAACAGGCTGGGTTGGAAGGGACCAACCATCTCGTTTCAGCCTCCTACCACAGGTAGGCACACTGTCCACTATCCCAGGTTGCTCCAAGTCCCATCCAACCTGGCCTTGGACACTTCCAGGGATGGGGCAGCCACAGCTTCTCTGGGCAACCTGTGCCAGTGCCTCTCCACCCTCACAGTGAAGAATTTTTCCCTAATATCCAATCTAATCTTGCCCTCTGTCAGTGTGAAGCTGTTCTGCCTTGCCCTGTCACTTCAGGCCCTTGTGTGAAGTCCCTCTCCAGCTCTCCTGGGGCGCCTTTAGGCTCTGGAAGGTGCTCCAAGGTTTCCCCAGAGCCTTCTCTTCTCCAGGCTGAGCAACTCCAGCCCTCAGCCTGTCTTCATAGCAGAAGTGCTCTAACTCTTGGGTCATAGTCACAGCCTCCTGCCCACTCCATCAGCCCCATACCCTGGCAGCATGAGAGGCAGGAGGGGGTGTGCCAAGCCCCCTTGGTACAGCAACAACACTCAGAACCCAAGGTACCAAGAACTGGCACTGCAACACCTCCATGACATGAAACCAGCTCTGCCACACTGGGATCTTAGCATGTAGCACTGTAGTGTTCTGAACCCCAGCTCATCAGACTCCCAAGAGCAACTTCTACCCACAGCCAGAGACCTGCCCTGTCTTTCTCACATTCCCCACAACTGCCCACTCCCCCCTCTTGCCCTCATCCCACCTCCCCACACTGTCCCAAAATCAAACACAGGGGCCTTGAGCTGTCCTCAATCCACACAGTCCCTGACAGAAGCTGCCCCTCCTTACCCAAGGACAGGGTGCTGGGATGGGTCATTCCAATTTCATGAGCTCCACATCAAAAATTAGAGTGGCGTTTGGTGGGATGATCCCTGGGTGGCCAGTGGAGCCGTAGGCGTAATCTGGGGAGATGGTCATCTTTGCCCGCTGACCAACGCTCATCTGGGGCAGGGACAGAAACAGGGATGTCAGGAGATGGGCACAACTGCCAGGTGAGTGACAGAGGAGGGACACACACCTGTCCTCACTGCCTTCCCTACACTGGGCAAGAGTAAGGACCCAGGCTGCACAAACCAGAGAGGGAAGAATGTCAGGGAATAGGTAGGCAGCACGGGCTGGAAAAAGAGCAGGGCTTAAAAAGTCCTTCACACGAGAAAAGGCAGGGAACGCCAGGCCATTCCCTCCAGCCACCAGCATCCTTGTGCTGCCTGCATGACACAGAGTGAGCAGTGTCACGCGGGCAGGAGCCGAAGCTGTGCTGTGCCCACAGCGTGGGATCACAGCCCGGAGCTGTGCTGTGCCCACCAGCCCTCCCTCCGCGTGGGCTCCGGAGCCCAGGAGGCCTGAGCGCTCCCGCCGTGCTCGTTCAGAGCTGACTCAGTGCAGAAATGTCACCGCTGAGTCACCGACGTGCTGTAGGTGTTGCTGGGGCCTGGCCCGGCTCCATTCCTGCCAGCTGGCAGGTGGCAATGCAGAAGGTGATATTCACACCCACACCTCCCAGCACCGAGGGGGTGGAACAGGGGAATAAAATAAAAAAATAATAAAATAGGGAATGAGCTGCGTGCACACTGATTCCTGCCCACGCTGCAGCTCCCGGCGCAGCACAGCCTGGCACGGGGAGCGTGAGGCGGAGGAGCTGCGGGCACCTGAGCGACTCCTTCCTCCCAGCCACGGATCACCTCCTGCTTGCCCATCACAAACTTGAACGGCTTGTTCCTGTCGCGGGAGGAATCAAACTTCTTCCCATCCTCCAGCATACCTGGGGAGAGAGAGGGAGATGATGGTGATACAGGGACAGAGCCATGCACATTAATGCGAGATGCTGTGACCTGGCAGCCCGAGCAGGTGACAGTCACATGGCTCTGTGTCAAAGATGTGTCTCAGCTTGTCCTCCTTTTCCCTGGGAGACACCTGTATAGGAGGGGAAATCCCTGTGGCATCACCCATCCTGGGGCAGGGAAGGATGACACTTAACTGTTTTGGATGAAAGAGAAATGCTCCTCTGGGCCAGGACCAAGGACTGACAGGGGAGCAGATGGATGGGGGAAGAAAATCTTGCCCACCTTGCAATACTACCAACAACCATTTATCAGGCATCAGGATCTGATCTTGTGTTTCCCATCCCACCAGAAAATATGCCTCTCACTCACCAGGCTTCCACCTTCAGGCACCCAAAACACTGATGACACTCCAGCCCTCCATCTGGAGGCTGTGACTGGCCTCCAGCCCTGTCTATGCTCAGCTATCTAAGGCCAAATCCCTCCTGGAGCCAGGAATGATGATGGGGAGAGGCAGCACCAAGAGCTGGATGCGTGTGCCTGGGGCAGCCCTTGTTCCCCAGCAAGGGCTGAGCCAGGCTGATATCCCCACAGCTAAATATAACTCCCCAACATGAGCTAAGGAGGAATTTCCTCCCCTCCCTTGCTCCCTGTGTGACCTTCTTGGGGAATCTTGGAGCTGGCGCTGCCTTATAGGAGAAGTAACTCCACCAGTCAGCTCCCATAAGACAGCTCCAGCTCTGCATTAACACAGCCAGCACCCTGTAGAATAAACCTGTGTGTTAAGAGCAAAATTAAACTCTCTTCCAAAACACTTCTTTCCAAAACAGCCTAAAAATTCTGCTATCCTGGCTGGAAACTGCTCTACAGTCTTGAAAAACCAAACTTCCTCAGGATGGCATGGAGTAGATTGACTTCCATTTGCCAGGGCATGTGTGCAAGGGAAAATGTGTGGAAAAGATGGGATGGGGTAGCTCAGCCCCTGCTTGCACAGCGGGAGAAAATACATCACTTTTGCAGGGACAACAAGCACTGAGACCTGGGCTCCTCTCAGGGAGCAGAATAAAGTTTTTAATTTAATAGACAGCAAAAATCCCTTCTCCAGGGTGTCGAGCATCAGCTCAGCCGGTCACGCTCTAGCCCTGGACTTTGGAATAGTAAATCTGGAGCTCTCTTATTTCCTCCTTCCAGGATAAACCTCTTGTTGCTGAACCTGCTTCCAGCCCCATCTGGCACTGCTCCTTGCTCCTGTGCGCTGGCCTTCCTCCTGCCTGGCAGCAGGGACACAGGGCAGCCCATGCCGGCTGGCACCGGCAGCGCTGCCTGGCTGCGGCCCCAGCTGACCCCGACTCGGCTCCGAGCCCTCCCGTGCAGCAAGGGCTGAGGTGGCTGAGGAGGGACAGAGAGGACAGCTCTCTGCCACCCTTCTCCCTGGACATCCATCAAGGGAAAACCCTAGGGGCCAAGCAACACAACCCCCTGCTTGTCACAGCAAGCAGGGACTACCAGGATGCTCCAAGGGCATGTGCAGCCTGCAGAAGTGCATCCCTTTTGTTGTCCTGACCAGGGAATGCAGAGGCATCAGCAGCAGTGCAGGAGATGCTGCCAACCTTGCACAGGAATGGACGGCACTGCCCAACCCCACTGCCAAGCTCACCTGTCCCAGTCCAGCCTCAGGAACTGTTTCAGGGCTGGCAGCTCCCTGGCTGCAGAAGACAGGGATTGATGGACCATGCTGGTTGCAGCAGCCCAAGGGATTGATCACTCAGCTCTCCCAAACCAGGATGGAGAAGGCCATATGTGGGAGCCTGTCCCTGCTCCCCAGCACAGGGCTGCCATGCTCCCCCATCATGCCAGCTGGGAAAACAAAGAGGCTCCAATCCTTCATAGACTGCATC